GTAGCTGGGATTACAGGCACTCGCCACTACACCCAGTTAATTTTTGTATTTTTAGTAGAAACATGTTAGCCAGGCTGGTCTCTAACTCCTGACCTCAGGTGATCCACCCACCCTGGCCTCCCAAAGTACTGGGATTACAAGCGTGAGCCACTGCCTCCAGTCCAGATAGTTTCTTTTCAGTGTATAGAAACACTTCTGAATTTGTTAGTTTATTTCATGTCCAACTTTATTTTACACCGATAACCGCTTATCTTTGGTCTTATGAAAATCTCAACACTTTTCCTCCCCCTGCCTTATTTTGTTTTTGACATCATTATTTAAATCTTTCTTTTTTTTTTTTTTTTGGCAACTCTAGCTCTGTTGCCCAGGCTGGAGTGCACTGTTGTGGTATCGGCTCACTGCAACCTCTGCCTACTGGGTTTAAGTGATTCTCCTGCCTCAGCCTCCTGAGTATCTGGGATTACAGGTGCCCACCACCATGCCCAGCTAATTTTTGTATTTTTAGTAGAGTCGGGATTTCACCATGTTAGCCAGACTGGTCTTGAACTCCTGACCTCAGATGATCCACCTGCCTTGGCCTCCCAAAGTGCTGGGATTACAGGCGTGAGCCACTGAACCCAGCCCTATTTACATCTTTTTATGTTGTATACTCCTTAACAAATGGCATTAACTATCACTTAAAAAAATTTTTTGCCTTTTGACATTTATACTGATACAAGTAATTTATACAATACCATGATCGTATTAGAATATTCTGAACTTGACTGTTTACCTACTGTAATCACCTAATTTTATATTTTCACATGGTTTTATGTATCTTGTTAATGTTCTTTTCTTTCAGATTGAATAACTTTTTTTTTTTTTTTAGCATTTCTTGTAAGGCAAGTGTAGTGGTGATGAACTCTCACAGGTTTTTTTTCTCTGTGAAAGTCTTTATTGCTCCTTTGTTTCTAAAGGACAGATTTGTTGGGTATGGTGTTGTTGGTTGGCAGTGTTTTTTTTTTCCTTTCTATACTGTGTATGATTCCACTCTCTCCTGGACTGCAGGTTTCTGGTGAGAAGCCTTCTGATAGTTTTATAAGTGTTCCCTTATATGTGACGAGTTGCTTTTCTCTTACCGCTTTCAAAATTCTTTGCCTTTCACTTTTGGGAATATGTTTGTGATGTGTCTTGGTGAAGATCTCTTTGTATTTAATCCATTTGGGGTTCTTTGGGCTTAATGAATCTGGAAGTCTATTCCCATCCAGATTTGGTACATTTTCTTTCATTATTTCTGTAATTATACTTTTTTTTTTTTTAGATGGAGTCTCGCTCTGTCACCCAGGCTGGAGTGCAGTCATGCAATCTCGGCTCGCTGTAAGCTCTGCCTCCTGGGTTCATGCCATTTTCCTGCCTCAGCCTCACTAGTAGCTGGGACTACAGGTGCCCGCCAACTCCCCCGGCTAGTGTTTTTGTTTTGTTTTTTTTTTTTTTGTATTTTTTAGTAGAGACGGGGTTTCACCGTGTTAGCCAGGATGGCCTCGATCTCCTGACCTCGTGATCCACCCATCTTGGCCTCCCAAAGTGCTGGGATTACAGGCTTGAGCCACCACGCCCAGCCAATACATCTCTTGAATTTATTCTCCGTAACTGAAATTTCATATCCTTTGACTAACATCTCCCCAATCCACCATCCAACTCAAGCCCTGATAATCACCATTCTACTCTCCACCTCTATGAGATCAACTTTTTCTGATTCCACATATGTGAGATTATGAGGTGTTTTTCTTTCTGTGCCTGGCTTATTTCACTTCGCATAGTACCCTCCAGGTTCATCCATGCTGTCACAAATGACAGAATTTCCTTCTTTTTAAAGGCTAAATAATATTCCATTGTGTCTGTGTGTCACATTTTCTTTAACTTTTCATCCATCCATGGACACATAGGTTGATTCCGTGCCTTGACCATTGTAAATGCTCCACTGCATGTAGAAGGGAAGGTATCTCTTCAACATACTGTTGTCATTTCCTTTGGATGTATGCCCAATAGTGGGATTGCTAGATCATATAGTTGTTCTATTTTTTGTTTTCTGAGGAACCTCCATACTGTTTTCCATAATGGCTGTACTAATTTCCATTCCCACCAACAGTGTACCAGCATTCCTTTTTCTCCCCATCATCATCAACACTTGTTATCTTTTGTCTTTTTGGTAATAACCATTCTTATAGGTGTGAAGTGATATTTGATTGTGGTTTTAATTTGCACTTCCCTGATGGTTAGTGATGCTGAACATTTTTTTCATATACTTGTTGGCCACTTCCGTGTCTCCTTTTGAGAAGTGTCTATTCATGTCCCATGACCAAGTATCCATTTTACTTGGATTATTTGATTGCATGCTATTGAGATGTGAGTTCCTGTGTATTTTGGATTTTAACCAAAATCTTGGATCTTTTGGATATTGACCCTCATTCTGTAGGTTGTCTCTTCACTCTGTTCATTGTTTCCTTTGTCATGCAGAACCTTTTTAGTCTAATGTAACCTCATTTGTCTGTTTTTCCTTTTGTTGCCTGTGCTTTTGGGGTCATAGTCAAGAAATCATTGAATCAAAAAATCAATAATTTTCAACATAATGAAAAATTTTCCTATGTTTTCTTGTGGGTTTTACCATTCCAGGTCTTATGTTTTAATCTTTAGTCCATTTTGAATTAATTTTTACATATGATGTGAGATGAAGGTCTTATTTCATTCTTCTGCATGTCGATATCTACTTTTCTCAACACCATTTATTGAAGAGACTGTCCTTTCCCCATTTTGTGTTCTTGGTATCTTTCTCACAATCAATCGACTGTAAATATATTGATTTATACCTGGGTTCACTATTTTGTTCCATCAGTTTACTTATCATTGTTATGCCATTACCATTCAGTTTTGATTACTATACTTTTATAATGTATTTTAAAATCAGGTCATATGATGCCTCCATCTTTGTTCTTTTGTTTGTTTTGCTTAAGATCACTTTGGCTATTTGAAGTCTTTTTTAGTTCCATACAAATTTTAGAATTGTTTTCTCTATTTTGGCAAAACATGTCATTGGAATTTTAGTAGGCATTGCGTTGAATCTATAGATCACTTTGGGTAGTATGGACTATTAAACAATATTGAGTTTTCTAATCAATGAATATGTATTATCTTTCCGTTTATTTTTGTTACTTTCCATTTATTCATCAATGTTTTGCAGTTTTCAGATCTTTCACCTCTGTCATAAATTCATTTAAAAGAGTTGCTGCCTTGACATCCATTTGTAGGTCTGATATAAGTTGTTTAAAACCCAATCATACCACAGCATCATTTGCCCAGTTAGCAATTCCTTTCCCCGTTCAATTGTTTATGATATAGCACATTTGTTCTTTATCTCCCTGACCCTAAACCCAATACATCCCAGAGCAGCGGACTACAATGAAACCTAATGGTTTGGCAGGGCATGGTGGCTCATGCCTGTAATGCCAGCACTTTGGGAGGCCAAGGCGGGAAGATCACCTGAAGTCAGGAGTTTGAGACCAGCCTGACCAACATAGAGAAACCCCGTATCTACTAAAAAAAAAAAAAAAAAAAAAATTTAGCCAGGCATGGTGGTGGATGCCTGTAATCCCACCTACTTGGGAGACTGAGGCAGAAGAATCGCTTGAATCTGGGAGGCAGAGGTTGTGGTGAGCCGAGATCACGCCATTGCACTCCAGCCTTGGCAACAAGAGCAAAACTCCATCTCAAAAAAAAAAAAAAAAAAGAAACCTTATCATTCACACCAGAGCTGTGTAAATAAGCATAAAAAAGTTTCTTGTGAACATCTTGGGAAATCCCCTGGATCCCCATCAGGGCAAGGCTAGATTTTATAGCCACTCTACAGGGAGAAACGTCAAGACCAAATCGGAAGAAAATGCAGCTACCTCCTTGGCTAAATTTATTCCTAAGTTATTTATTTATTTATTTATTTATAGCTCTTGTAAGTGGGATTTTTCAGATAGTTTCTCTCTTTCTTTCTTTTCTTTTCTTTTCTTTTTCTTTTTCTTTTTTTCTTTTTTTTTTTTTTGAGACTGAGTTTCACTCTTGCTGCCCAGACTGGAGTGCAATGGCGCAATCTCGGCTCATTGCAACCTCTGCCTCTTGGGTTCAAGCGACTCTCCTGCCTCAGCCTCCCAGGTAGCTGGGATTACAGGCACTCGCCACTACACCCAGTTAATTTTTGTATTTTTAGTAGAAACATGTTAGCCAGGCTGGTCTCTAACTCCTGACCTCAGGTGATCCACCCACCCTGGCCTCCCAAAGTACTGGGATTACAAGCGTGAGCCACTGCCTCCAGTCCAGATAGTTTCTTTTCAGTGTATAGAAACACTTCTGAATTTGTTAGTTTATTTCATGTCCAACTTTATTTTACACCGATAACCGCTTATCTTTGGTCTTATGAAAATCTCAACACTTTTCCTCCCCCTGCCTTATTTTGTTTTTGACATCATTATTTAAATCTTTCTTTTTTTTTTTTTTTTGGCAACTCTAGCTCTGTTGCCCAGGCTGGAGTGCACTGTTGTGGTATCGGCTCACTGCAACCTCTGCCTACTGGGTTTAAGTGATTCTCCTGCCTCAGCCTCCTGAGTATCTGGGATTACAGGTGCCCACCACCATGCCCAGCTAATTTTTGTATTTTTAGTAGAGTCGGGATTTCACCATGTTAGCCAGACTGGTCTTGAACTCCTGACCTCAGATGATCCACCTGCCTTGGCCTCCCAAAGTGCTGGGATTACAGGCGTGAGCCACTGAACCCAGCCCTATTTACATCTTTTTATGTTGTATACTCCTTAACAAATGGCATTAACTATCACTTAAAAAAATTTTTTGCCTTTTGACATTTATACTGATACAAGTAATTTATACAATACCATGATCGTATTAGAATATTCTGAACTTGACTGTTTACCTACTGTAATCACCTAATTTTATATTTTCACATGGTTTTATGTATCTTGTTAATGTTCTTTTCTTTCAGATTGAATAACTTTTTTTTTTTTTTTAGCATTTCTTGTAAGGCAAGTGTAGTGGTGATGAACTCTCACAGGTTTTTTTTCTCTGTGAAAGTCTTTATTGCTCCTTTGTTTCTAAAGGACAGATTTGTTGGGTATGGTGTTGTTGGTTGGCAGTGTTTTTTTTTTCCTTTCTATACTGTGTATGATTCCACTCTCTCCTGGACTGCAGGTTTCTGGTGAGAAGCCTTCTGATAGTTTTATAAGTGTTCCCTTATATGTGACGAGTTGCTTTTCTCTTACCGCTTTCAAAATTCTTTGCCTTTCACTTTTGGGAATATGTTTGTGATGTGTCTTGGTGAAGATCTCTTTGTATTTAATCCATTTGGGGTTCTTTGGGCTTAATGAATCTGGAAGTCTATTCCCATCCAGATTTGGTACATTTTCTTTCATTATTTCTGTAATTATACTTTTTTTTTTTTTAGATGGAGTCTCGCTCTGTCACCCAGGCTGGAGTGCAGTCATGCAATCTCGGCTCGCTGTAAGCTCTGCCTCCTGGGTTCATGCCATTTTCCTGCCTCAGCCTCACTAGTAGCTGGGACTACAGGTGCTCACCACCATGCCTGGCTGATTTTTTTTTCTTAGTAGAGACAGGATTTCACCATGTTAGCCAGGATAGTCTTGATCTCCTGACCTCGTGATCCGCCCTCCTTGGCCTCCCAAAGTGCTGGGATTACAGGTGTGAGCCACCACGCCCAGGCTGTAATTATACTTTCTGCACCTTTCTCTTTCTCTGATGCTCCTTGGACCATGATAATACCTATATTGTTTTGCTTCACGGTAACCCATCAGTACTGTTGGTTTTATTCTCTCATTTTCATTCTTTTTTTTCTTTTTATTCCTGTGATTTGGAGACTTCAAATGATCTGTCTTCAAGCTCACTGATTCTTTCTTCTGCTTAATCAACTCTGCTGTTGAAGCTCTCCATTGGATTTTTTATTTCATATATTGTGTTGTTTGATTCCAGAATTTCTGTTTGGTCCTTTATTATGGTGTCTGTATGTTTATTAAACTTTCATTTTGTTCATGTATTGTCTTTCTGACTTCACTTACTTGTCTATCTGTATTTTTTTTGTAGCTGACTAAGCTTCTTTAAAATGAGTATTTTCAGTTCTTTGTCAGGCTGTTGTAAATCTCCATTTGTTAAGGGTGGACTACTTGTGTTTTATTTTGTTTCTTTGGTGCTATCATGTTTCCCTGATTGCTCATGAGCCTGTGGCAATGTGCTGGAATGTGCGCTTTGAAGAAGCAGGGACTTATTCCAATATTTACAGACTGGCTTTGTCAGGGAACACCCTTCACCAGTCAGCCTGTACACAGATTTTGGTCAGGCCATGTGGTGTGGTTCAAAGGTGGTCTTGTTGCTGGTGTCCTCAGGCAAGCCAGTTTGGTATCCAGGCATGTGTGGGTAGGCCGAGAGCCTATATCCAGAAAGGTGACCTGAAGCCTCAGTCCATGGGTCCTAAACTGGCACTGGCATGGGTCTTGAGTTTGGGTCTGCAGATGTCAGCCAGGTGATGGCATGGGCCTCATCCCTAGGTCCACAGGGAAGGGCCTGGATCCTGAGTTCATGGGGACTTACCTGGCACTGGGGCAGACCTGGAAGCTGAGTCTGTGGGGGTAGGCCAGGATTCTGGGTCTGTAGTCTAGCCTTGAGGACCCCATTGAAGACTGACCTCTCATCCTTATCATATTCTTGTCTCTATGTGCTTCTAGATTTCTGTTTCCTGCACTTTCTGGCTCTTTTTCCACAGGGATACATTGGATGATTTCTGTCAGTCAGGCACCATGCTAACGGGGGTTAAGAGGCCCTGCCCTCATGGAGCTTTCTTTCTGGGATGGTATCAAGACATACAAATAGGCTGGGTGCAGTGGCTCACACCTGTAATCCCAGCACTTTGGGAGGCCAAGGCAGGCAGATCACGAGGTCAGGAGATCAAGACTATCCTGGCCAATGTGGTGAAACCCTGTCTCTACTAAAAATATAAAAATTAGCTGTGCATGGTGGTGCGTGCCTGTAATCCCAGCTACTCGGGAGGCTGAAGCAGGAAAATCACTTGAACTAGGGAGTTGGAGGTTGCAGTGAGCCGAGATGGTGCCACTGCACTCCAGCTGGGTGACAGAGCAAGACTCTGTCTAAAAAAAAGAAAAGAAAAGAAAATACACACGAATACACTTAACAGTCAGGATGTCCTGATGGGAACCATGAAGAATAGTTAAGTGATAGGTGAAACAGACAAGGTTGGTGGGGCCTCTCAGGGATGGTGATTTGGGCTGATATTTCAAGTTGGACAGGGCCAGTCTTGCAGAGAGCCAGGAAGAGTGCTCTTGAGAAGGCCCTGCAGGAATGAGAGCCCCAGGTTTCAGGGGCTTGGGGAGACTAACAGGGAGAAGACAGGGAGCCACTGTGGTGAGTGGACAGCAAACAGGTCAGGTGGACCAGCATGGGCAGATCACATGTACAGGAGGTTGGATGTTATTTTGTGAGTGAGGGTGTAAAAATAAAATATATCAGTGATATGTATTGATTACATGTTGAAATGTAGTATTTTAGATATTTTAAGTTAAAATTATATTGTTAAAATTAATTTGGCCTCATCCTTTTTACGATTTTAATACGGCTGTCATAGAATTTGAATGTTGCGTGTGGTTTGTATTATATTTCTGTCAGCAGTGCCCATCAAAGGTATGTAATAGATGCTGAATTCATGACAAGACCAAGCCTGGAAGAGTGAATTTCTCTGTCTGAGAAAAGAGAAGTTTTTCAGCCACTGTCAACCTCTGGGAATTCTGTGGCAACTCATTCATTGGCTTTTCTCTCCCTTCCCAGGATCTCATAGATCAGAACATACTGGAGACTGTAACCCGTGCACAGAGGGTGTGGATTACACCAACGCTTCCAATAATTTGTTTTCTTGCCTCCCATGTACAGTTTGTAAATCAGGTACAGACTGTGTGCACCTCCTGTCCAGAGGTGGAGTGTGGGACAATGAGGTGGGAGTTGTAGCCGATGTGAGTAAGGGAACCAAGTTCCAGCCCAACTTGGTCTTCATCACCCTGTTTCATGATTATATATTTGACTGATTAAAAAAATAGAAATATTTTCTGTAATGCATGCCACTTGGCTGGGAAATCTTCTAAACTATCAGCTGCAAGAGGGTAGGGGGATCATTAAAGCACAGAGAAGGCCTGGTCCAGTGGACAGGGTTGGGTTTCAGCAGTGGGACGGGTCTGCTCCAGGGTCAGGCTCTCTCCCCCAGGCTCTGTGCTTCTGGCAGGTGCTGGGCCTCACTCAGCCTTCAGGTTCTCAGGCCCCTTCCTCCTCCCCAGCAGGCCCAGGCTTTAGGGAAGTTCCCTAAGGGCTCCTCTCCTTGCAGAGTCTCTCAGGTGATGCCCTTGCACCTCCTTTGCTATTGACCATGCCATCTAAACAATGCTTTTCCCCTAATCTGATGTAATAAATCATGAATCATGCTCCCTTTTATGACTCCTCTGAGTATTGGTGACAGCTGAAGGGTGGGTGTCCTGTATGAGCCCTGGGTGTGCAGGTGCAGAAACTGGCCCTCAGAACTCCTCGGTGAACTTGGCTGAGCTGAGTAGAAGGGGGTGGGTGATAAGGAAGGTTGAAACACATTCCCAAAACCTTATGCTCTGTTGTCAGGTCAAACAAATACAAGTTCCTGCACCATGACCGGAGACCCAGTGTGTCAGTGTGAGGAAGGCACCTTCTGGGATAGGAACTCCCCTGAGATGTGCCTGGAGTACAGCATAGGGTGAGACAGCAGCCATGGGCTCCCGGCAGCTTTCAGGAACCCAAGAAGACCTGAGTCACCTGGTACCCCTATTTCTCCACTGACCCCATGGAGCCTCCAGACCCATGGGGTGTCCCTGAGCCTGTGGGGTCTCTTGGGTCTGCAGTGGCCCCTCCTGGTCCATCTGCCTGTCCCCACCCCTGCCCCCTGCAGCAGCCCCTTCCCACCCCTCCCCAGCATGAGTCCCCTTGGCCAGACCGACTTGTTCACTGGGCACAAGAGGCAACTTTCTAGATCCCTTGACCCTTTTCATCAAACCTAGGAAATGCAATTTCCTTTTGAAATGAGAAGAAAGCTGGGCGCGGTGGCTCACATCTGTAATCCCAGCACTTTGGGAGGCAGAGGAGAGCGGATCACTTGAGGTCAGGAGATCGAGACCAGCCTGGCCAACATGGTGAATCCCCGTCTCTACTAAAAATACAAAAATTAGCCGGGCTGGTGGTGGTCACCTGTAGTCCCAGCTACTCGGGAGGCTGAGGCAAGAGAATTGCTTTAACCCAGGAAGTGGAGCTTACAGTGAGCCGAGATCACGCCACTGCACTCCAGCCTGGGTGACAGAGCGAGACTCCGTCTCAAAACAAACAAACAAAAAAAGAAATGAGAAGAAAACACTTGAATCCAGTCTGGGTTGTATTTGTTGCTATACCAAACTGTTTTTTAAAATGTTATTTTTAATACTTTTTATGCAGGCAGGACCCATAAAGACAAAAGTGGCCACGACCGACAAAAGTCATAAGAAAGCTGTGGGTGGAGCTCCTTCAAGTTCCCATGAAGGCCTGAGCCAATCCAGCCGGCCTCACCCCTGGCCCCAATCCCTTAATAAGTCCTGTCTTTTCCCTATTTGGGCTTTAAGGGGCAAGAGTAATTTGTCCTTCTCTGGCCCTCTAATGTTTGCTGTGATTGGGAGGAACCAGCAGACAAGTGGGGGTGAGAGCTCACTTGTACTGTGGGTTGACTGGAGGACAGGGCTCAGCTTGTGGCCACAAGGACTTGTGACCTTCTCCTGGCGTGTGGCTCCTCCTAATGCAGGCCTCCTCTGCAGCCCAGGGAAGCTCAGCGTGTGTCCAACACAGAAGGCTCCTGTGACCCCAGAGCAGGGAGGCTGAGGGGCTGAAATGCGCATGCTCAGACTCTTCCCCAGCCTCAACAAGGGAGCTTGGGGGACCCCCTTCAGACACAAGGAGGCTATCCTTCCCATGACGCCTTCTCAGGGACATTGGAGAGGGAGGGTGGCTCCCCTTTCATCCCACCTGGCCAGCTTTCCCTCAAGAGTCCTCACCTCCCTCTCTGTGTGTACCCAGGTGCCCTAGTGCGGAAGTCCAGGTCAGTGATTGTACGTCCTGGAGTGATAGCCAGTGTGTTGAAGAATTTGGCACCATTGCCACTGTGGAAACCTCAGCTGCTGAAGAGACAACGACCGCCGGGACTCCTGCCTCTGCTAGTTACCTCTTATGCACCATCGTAGGGATTGTAGTTCTAATTGTGTTTCTGATTGTGTAAGTTTGCACTTTGGAAGAAATTCCTTCCTTACCTGAAGGAAGGTGGTGACTGAGGGCAGGGGCGCTGGACGTTCTCTGCCCTGCCTCCTTCTGCTCTGTTCCCACAGACAGAAATGCTCACCCCTGCCCCAAGTCCTGGTGTCTCCAGCCTGGCTCTATTTCCCTCCTTGTGATCGCCCCATCCCCACATCCGGTGCACCCCCCTGGACCCTGGTCTCATCAGTTCCTATCCTGGAGCTGGGGGTCCCCACATCTCCCAGCCAAGTCTGGGAGATGGCAGGGCCAGTTCTTCCCATCTTCAGGCCCAGCCAGGCGTGGGGCAGTCAGCTCCTCAACTGGGTGACAAGGGTGAGAATGAGAAGTGGTCACGGGATTTATTCAGCCTTGGTCAGAGCACAACACGGAGATTTTCCACGTGTTGGTTTTACTCTAGTTCCCCTTCTCATCCCCCTTCCTCAGGGTGTCTCTGAATTGGAAGGCCCCCCTCTTGTCCCCAGCCCCAGGGCTCCTTGTCCAGTGTCCCTGCCCCCAGCCCACCCCTGCGCCCCACTGTCCTCTGGGAGAGAGGTGCTGCATGGGCCCCTCCCCGCCTGCTAAGGAGACTCCTCCTTTTCCAGGTGGTTGAAGAGGCCCTGAACGTGTGGACAGAATGACTTGGTTTCTCCAGAAACTGGAAGCCTCATGGGCTGAGGAACTGCCTCCCACCCACAGCAGAACCCGGTGGACATAATCCTTTCTCCTCATGGCTGCCTTGACTCTCTGAAGTGGCTTGGGACTCTGGGCTGACTGTGGGGGACACATGGCCATCTTGAGCATCACACAGACTGGCGGGCCCTGCTGCAGCCCTGTCCTTCCTGCAGTCCTGGTGACAACCTCACTCCACCGCCTGCACCCTGAGGATGGGATGTCCGCCTGAGCACAGCATCAGGGGCCTGGCCCCAGCAGCAGGTCCTGGATGTGCTGAGACTGGGCTGCCTGGGGTGACCTCATTGGGAGGAGGTGGGGATGGCAGGTCCAGCTGCATACTGGGGACCCTGCAGCAAGCCCTGGATGTGGACTCCTGAGTCAGTTCTTTGCCTTCCTGAGGCCTTTTTCCGGCACTCACGTCCCCCACCAAGGCCTGGGGTGAGAACAATGCCCACAAGGAGAGCCTGAGTAACAGAGACTCGCAGCCCTTCCAAGTCTCTGAGCAGGAAATTGAAGGAATCATGACATTTTACAGAGGAGGAGATTGCAGCTCAGAGTGGGGGAAGCGTGTGCACCAGGCCACAGGCAAGTCTGTCCAGAGCACTAGTAGGAATGAGGGACACTAGGAATGACCACTTTAAGAAGTTGGATGAGAAGAATTTCAAAGTTAAGTCATTGGAGTTTGTTGGTAATATATTTGTGTGGCTTAGGTCATGTTAAGTGCATCACACGCTCACCCCCATGTCTGCTGTTGGTCTCAGCACTGGGTGGAGGGAGCGGGGAACAGTCCTGGTGAAGAGGAGAGGGGAGCAGCACCGGCTGGGGTGGGTCCTCTGCCGCTACCTTCTCCTGCTGTGGTTTCTCAGGGCTTAGGCGGCCCCTCACACCTGGCTTGTCTGTGGGGAGAAGATCTTTGTTCTCTGGCTGCTTTTAAGACTTTCTCCTTAACAGTGGTTTCGGCAATTCGATTGTGGTAAAAAGGAGCTGCAGAAGCCATGGCTGTAGCATTTTCGGCCTCCCCTTCTGTATAATAGCAGCCATGTTTCGGCCTCTGCAGGGCTAAGGTCCTCCGAGCAGCTGCTTCTCCACATCTCTGCCCTGCACTTGGCCTCTGGGAGCTCCTGGTGTTCCTTAGCAGAGTCCACAGGGTTCTTTGGGGTCCCGTCCCTGTGCTGGGGCCTGGAGCCTGTGACCTGAGGCGGTGAACTGAGGCCACCACTGGGCTCACCTCATGGGCTTGGAGGAAAAGTCATTCACCCAGGAAGTAGATGATGAGCCCTTTACTCTGAGAATGTCTGCGCCTGGTGCCGGTGGGAGGACAAATGAGTCCTGCCTGTGTCAATCCTGCTCCCTGGAGCCCACAGTCTGGTGCAGGAGGTGTCACCAGGGACCTAAATGGCGATCAGGAAGCATGGGGGCCACCTCCCCCACCCCCCACCTCCAGAGAGGCTGTGCCGGCTCCAGGGATGCCATCCCTCCCTACTTGGCTTTGGCAGAGGGAGGCTGTGCGGTTGCAAGGCCCCAGCTCATGGTACTGTTGGCGTGGAGGATGTGGTTTCATTAAAATCAACATTGAGAGTAACGATTGTACTAACAACAGCATGTGCTATGCGAAGCTCTGTTCTCAGCACTTTATACACATATGAACACACTTAATCCTCATACAACCAGACTGTACAGGAACCCTCATTGTCCTTGTTTTAGACGAGCAGCATGAGACGCAGAACATTCGTTCAGTGGAGGGACTGGACAGGAGGATGAGTGACCCTCGGGGACAGCAGCAGTGATTGGGTCACTGGGTTCTGCTGATCTTTCCCAGGGGAGTATTCGGTGCTTGTTCATGAGGCCTGCATTCGCCTAGCGCTGGGTCACAGCTGGGGATCCCTGAGAAGTCATTTAAGGTCACCTCTTATTTCAGGAATGAGACATATTTAGGTAAGAAATGGCTTACCCTGGACCATGAGGCTGGCCCAAGACTACAAGACAGATGGCTTGCTTCTTAACCCAGGGGTCTTTTTATACCAAAAGAACAAAGAAAGAAAAAAGCCACAAAAACTCAAAGGAAGCAGATTTCCCACCACAGCCAACCTCAGAACAATTCTGAGTTGCTCATTTTAAGATCAACAAGGCATTTTTTAGGCTGTCTATGCCTGAAGGAGGAAATCACAGTGTGAATATCAAACTTGCCTCTAAAACAGCCTAACACAATACTGGTCCAGGAGGAACAAGGCAAGGAAACCCCCTGGTGAATGACTCATCTCAGGAAGAGGCAGGGTCAGGAGAGTCTATGGAGAAGACCTGGAACAAGACCTCTCTGTCCTGCTCTCTCTCCTGCTCTCTCTCCTGCTCTCTCTCCTGCTCTCTGTCCTGCTCTCTGTCCTGCTCGCTCTCTCTCACACACACACACACACACCCTCACACCCCCTCACACCCCCATGAGCCCAAATCTGCAAACTGAGAACCTCACTTCTCTGACCTCACCTTTCATCTCCCTCAATCAGAGACACCCACAAACCTCAGAGCTGCGTCCCAGCATCGCTTGTTTTGACTCCCCTCCTCTACTGCCTTGACTTCCTTTCTGCCTGGGAACCTATCTGTGTGGACTTTTCCCTCTATGTCTACCGGTGTCCTGCCACCAATGGCATTTGTCACCTCT